AAGTCTAATGATGTTATAATTTCATTGTATAGGTCACTGGTTAGGCAAAATTTGGAATACTGTGTTCAGTTTTGGGCTCTTTACCTTAGGAAAGACATTGAGTTTTGGAAAGGGTTCAGAGAATGGTGCCTGGAATGGAGGGGGGTGTCATATGAGGAGAGATTGAGATCTCTGAAATTGTTTTCTCTTGGAAAAAGAAGAATATGGGGTGGGGGGTCTGATTGAGGTGTTTATGATTGTAAACAGAATTGATAGTGTTGATGAATCATTTTTGTTCGTACTTAACAGTGAGAATAGTAGGACTAGGTGATAGTACATTGAATGTTTCACATACACAAGGTAAAAATCAAGTTTAACAATAAATTAAAAATACAAGTTATTCAATTTATAATTTAACTTAGTTATTATGAATTACTGTAATTTATATTTTCATTGTCATATATAGTGAAATATTGTTAACCCAAATGCACTTGTAATGAACTAGTTTTTCTGGATTACCAAGACATCCAGATAGTTGATTCAGTCACTTGAATATAATGGACACTATCAACCCTACGTGCACAGGTGGGGGTAAAAGTGCACAAGCCATGACTTTAAGAGAGTGCCATTCAACAAGGTATTATGTATTTAATGTCCAAGTAAACTATTCAGTTTACCATACATTGCTAAGTTAGCAACAGTTTATAGTTAATAACAGGTATCAGAAAAAATAAAAAATGTAGATACGAATTTCAGAAGTTTCAGAATTTATGCACATATGATATGCAAATTATACGATGGACAAAAGTATCTTAATTCTTCACATGAACACCACCTTGCTTTCACTTTTCAGAGTCAGACTGATGTTTTCAATTCATAAACAGAGTACAATTACCTTTGTAACACATCTACTTTTTGTGTGTAACAAACTTGTACATTTTACTAAGCGCTTGCCACATTTTGTGTAGATACACTTAGTAAATTTGGAATTATAGTCAATATTTTCCCTCCTGTGTACATTGTGTTTATAACATACATTATTGATTGATAATATTAGGATGCAAACTAGTAAGTGTGTATATGCAACTTGATGATAACAAGCAGCTGTATATACAATAAACATATCAGTTTATTATTTTATATGCTATCATACAAATTCCATAATGAAAGTGGCATATTGTAATTACCTTCACATAAATCATCATTTTGTTTAAACTAATAACTTATCTATAGAATAAAGAATACATAGACCATTTATTGCTTTCTTGTATAAAAATACCAAATTTTAATTATTATGAAAAATACATTTCATCTCTGTTTTGGAACACTGACTTGACTGTAGTTTAAACACTGATTATTTCCCGATTCTAATAGTTTATATTTACAGCCCCACTGTGAAGGTTATTCTCAGAAAAAATGTTGTAAACTGGTACACACTGAGAGAGCAGGTTTTTGTGGTCACTAATTATAACCTTGTTTCCTGTTCTGATTGACCTTTATTTCACTTTTGTGGATTCATGTATAGTTTACCCAATCATGTATCAAAAGGATTGCATGTTTATTAAACGAAATAGCTGTTTTAACTTGAAAAGCCAACATATGAATTACTGATTAAATATCTCATTGTGGAGATAAGTCTACATGAAAAATCATATGGACTGATGAAAGTCAGGATTAACAAATTTTCAATGTGATGCTTTTACAACACAAAAATAATGTTCAAACAACATATTTAAATGAATTTTGTCAGGTCAAACAGGTGATAGATTGTTACGTTTTATCACTAATTATTTATGCTAATTCTTTCCATAAATGTTGTAGCAAAAACTGCAACTTTGCGTGCGGAAGTTTAGCTTATGGCAGCGTACTACTTTGCAGAAAGGTAATGATTTTCATTGAAAGAATAATCTGGGTTATGTTACAGTATGAAATGTACAATTAAGAACTAAATTTGTACACTAAAGATTGCTTTCTCTCCTTACCTTGTAGCTCCATAATTTCCATTCTCTCTCCGTTTAGATCTTGGCCTACAAATTTCATTCCTGATGCTTCTAAATCTGGGACAAAAGCAGGGTTCACCTCATAACGATGTCGGTGTCTCTCATCAATGTATTGTTCATCTTTATACAATCGGCCTATGCAAAGAAATATTCATCAAAAAAAACCTTTCAGGGAGTGCGATCTCTTGAATACCTGTTACTAGAGCACTGATTAATAAATAAACAAAAGGTTCTGGGTTCTAGTTATACTCAGAGCAGATTACTTTGTATACAGTTTCATTAAACTGATATGCAAAGTGATGCTACTTCTCCCTTTAGTTACGTGGATGGTAATATAACCACTCACAGAGTCTCCAGCAGCTATCAAGGTTCTGTGTCTATACTCCTAACTCAAGAACAAAACTTAATTTAAGATAATGTGACAGTCTAGATATGAAAAGACCAAGGAATTTGAGACTTGATTTATGAGTTTTAAAAATGTCAGAGAAAGTTTCTTACCACCCCAATTCTTATAGAAAAAATCATCATCAGGCTTAAATAAGACATATATTATATAATTAATGATTACAAAAGTACCATTGTGATAAATACAAATTTACTTTTAACAATAAACTTTATAAAGTTTCACAAATCATGTTTAAACCTGATATGATTTAGCATAATTGAAGATTTTTTTTTAGACAAATAACTTCCAAGTTTGAATGCCTATAATCTAAAAATGCCTATATTTTCTTTTCTAGCTTAAATGCACTATCTGTTACTGCAATTACAATCACAGTACAGACCAAAGCAACACATGTTTTTGAAGTGTGCAAATTCAGTGTTGTAATAGAAAGAAGTTAGTCATGTACTAAAGCTTATATAATACAGTAGAAACTCAATACAAGGACAAGATGAAGAAAATGTTTCTTTCACTTCTTTCAAGTACATGTACAGAATTTTGATAACTGTACTGTTACACAAGACTGTACAAATTATGTAAGAAATTCTATTCACAAGAAACTGAACTTGTGTATATATATATATATATATATATATATATATATATATACACA